AATGAGCTCTTTTATCTGATTGGTCTATATTTTGGGATGTAGTGGAACATGCCAATCAGATGAAAGAGCTCATTGAGCACTCAGTGAGTGGTTGTCGTTCTGAATGCATCCATTGATATATTTTTCCAGATCTAAAATGCTAATTGGATGATCTAAAAGAATACACCAATAACATCGAGCGCTCACTCAACTGTTGAGTCTACTGAACAGTCATTGTATAAAAAATACTAATAAATTAAAAAAAAAAACCATTGGTTATGTTCAAGTGTCGACAAAGCGGCTAGCCTGCTTGCCGAGCAAATGAATATGATCGAGGGTGCATTTCCATTCATTTCGTTTCAGGGTAGTATCAGTATCCAGTGGCCGCCTTTAAGCTGGAAACACAATAGACACAGGCAATAGGCACAGGCAACAGGGAATAACGAGCCGTCCAATCAGAGCTTTGGGGTATAAGTTCGATATTATATCCCAGAGCTCTGATTGGACGGCTCGTTATTCCCTGTTGCCTGTGCCTATTGTGTTTCCAGCTTAACGTTTCATATCTAACATGGCCGATCAAACAGTTAACATTTGAAATGTTAGATGGCGCGCATTTACGCTTGCCTTCCATTCTTCTCTCACTATTCTTTGGGACTGGGCTGGATCGTCGGATGGCGAATTTTGGCGACATCAGCGCCATGACAGTTCCATGGTAAGTGGATTGTTCTTAATGCGCGCCAAGGTGTTTTAATAAAATAATTCGGTAGCGCGGTAGCGTCGTACGATCAGAATATCGTTTGGACGTTTTCTCTTACGACTAGCGTTATTTAGTGTGTACGAGGAATCTTACTTGTGACAGAACGTTCGGCATAAGTAACGTCGGCTTCGTATCCCGGTAGTCCGCCATTTCTGGCGTGTTGCGGCTAATACGGTTGGCGTATCATCCGGCTTCATCTTAAAGCTTTCATCCCGAGAGTCAGGAAAGTCTCTCGTTGCTAATTATGTGAGTAACTTTATTACACGCAGTCAGCAATTACGTAATATTTATATGAATTTTAATCTTCTTTCTCTTTTCCTCTACTCCACACTCACTGTTTATTATTTAGGGCCCGAAGCCGAAAGGACAGTACAGGCAAGAGTGACTCCGAAGCTACAGACAAAGAGAACAAGAAGGAGAGAGGTAAAGAGAAAGAACGGAAAAAACGAGCGGCTTCTTCCTCCAGTAGTGGTTCTAGGTAAGTAATATAAAAATATTAAAAGTACGTCAATTTAAATTTACTACCGAATTTAATCTTTATTATGGATTTCTAATTATTTGGCTCTGAATAAAATAATTTTTCATATTCAAAAGCTCTTGCAGAGAAAGAAATTAGACTTTTTCTTCGATGATTACTGTAACATTCTAAACTATTCAATACTTATTATTTTATTGATGAATATATGTAAAATTATATTTGGTAGCTCATCAGATAGCAGCTCTGGATCTTCGAGCTCTAGCAGTGGCAGCAGTTCCAGATCAAGCTCTTCTTCTAGTAGCTCATCTAGTAGTTCACCTAGCTCTTCAGCCAGTTCCAGAGATCGAGGAAGGAAAAGAAGTCGTAGCAAAAGCGCTGATGCTTCGCGCAGACATGACAATAAGGAAAAGGAAAGAGAAAAGGAAAGAGAAAGGGAAAGAGATAGAGACAAGGACAGAGATCGTGATAAGGAAAGGAAGAAGGGAAACAATGCTGTTCCTGAAAAAGTTAAACAAAAAGGACGATCCAGGTATTACATTTGTTGTAAAGTTGACTTTAATCTTTCCTCTTTTATTTATAATTAATTAGTAAGTTACTAATTTTTTTTATTTTACAGATCTCCCTCTCCTCGTAGAAAGCGTAGGGAGCGTTCACCAATTCCTAGACCAACAAAAATACATATTGGTCATCTAACACGGAATGTTACCAAAGATCATGTCATGGAGATATTTTCGACATATGGTCAAATAAAGATGGTCGACTTTGCATTGGATAAGCTTCATCCGAATCAAGGAAGGGGATTTGCTTATGTCGAATTTGAAACTGCAGATGAAGCCGAAAATGCTATGAAGCATATGGATGGAGGTAAAATGCTGATTAATATCATTATCACACATTTTGTCCGTTTCATTTGGAGTTTGCAATGCTCTTGAAATCTCATTTTATCTTTGTCGTTTATTTGGAGACACTGGTAGTGTCTCTGCGCTAAGCTACGCGCAGCGATCAAATAAACAAGAATAAACGATGCTGGCTATTGCAAACGTCAAGTAGAACACATTCTCAATGAGTTACTTTATTGTCATACTAATGCATTTTGTATTGATCTGTTCACAGGACAAATAGATGGACAAGAAATCACAGCTGCTCCAGTATTATTACCGAAGCCTCGGCCGTTGCCAATGCGACGCATGTCGCCTGGTATGGGAAGACGCGCACCACCACGATGGGGAGGTGGTGGTAGAAACACACCGCCACGTTATCGCAGACGTTCTCCGCTTATGAATCGTCGTAGAAGTCCAAGACCACCACGGCGTAGAATAAGAACTCGATCACGGAGTCCACCAGGAAACCCACGACATCGACATCGTCGTTACACAAGGTCCAGCTCGAGTAGTTCTCGATAACAGTTTTTATCGGGATGTGTATATATATATAAAAGATATCGAACTAAACGTGATCAATATTGTCATATAGTTGAATTATTGGACTTCAAAAAACTAATGTGTAACGATTTTGTTTTAATAATGATAAGATACGTTTGCCAATGACGATCATAAACTTGTTTATAAATATCATAATAGTTTTATGTTTCGAAAAGCACACTTTTGAAATATACTAATTTTGCAACATGTATTGATGATCTTTCATAGTTACACCTCAAGTTATTATAAACTAGTTAACACCTCAAGTTATTATAAACTTATTATAACATTTACATCATTTAGACTATCATAAGATAAACAAAGAATATTTGTAGAAAGAGTTAATGTAATCGTTTTTTTTTTTAATCAATAGTATTTTTTTCTAGTCTAACCTTTTTAGTCGCGTATCTGGTGTACTAAAAATGGATCATGGGATTTAATTAAATTAACTTTATATATATATGTATATATATATATAAACAAACAAAAGCAAAAAGAATTTTTTAACTATGTAAGTACGACAAACAGTTTGAAGGGAATGCGTTCTTCTGATATAAAATACATATTTTAGAATATCGATTTAATTTTTCAGAATGTTTGTCTTTCACTTTTCGCATATAATAGTGTGTGTATGTGTGTGTGTATGTGTGTGTATACACACTTGGTTCAGAATTTCATCTGCAAACTCAAATTTAACATATATATGCGAATCCTTATTGTTGAGACAAACGTTTTTTAAGCAAAGAGAACCATTTTTATTTTACCATACATAAAAAATTGTGTATATATATATATATGTACATATATATACATATATGTATGTATATATTCATTCATATACATATAATTCGCATATATATATATATATATAAAAGAGAAAAATATATATATATATAATTTTCTCTTTTATCTCCTTTTCCATTTCTGTGTTCCTTATTTACATGTAGTCTTATACAGGGCTGTAAAAATACTAAAAACAACAAGATTAATAGAAACTATGATTATTAGATCCTTTTACAAAGAATCAGTTTTAGAAAAAACCTATTCACACAAAATCTTCTTATACTTCGCGATATCTACATGAACAAAATCATTGCATCACATTGTAACTTTGCGTCGATGAAAAATATCTACAATTTTTAAACTGCGTGTGTATAGTTGTTAATTATATAATATACAATTTTATTGTGATTTTACAATATAAATGGAACAGAGTCTGGGAATTATTTCGATCATTCAGAAAAGTCGCATTTTTCTTTTGAGGCACCAGGAATATTCGAACGTAACCTGGTCCATGGCACAAAACTTTTAAAGAGATCTCAATTGGCTCTCTGGTAACACAATGACGTATATGGCTAAGAATTGAGAATGGTTAAAAGAGAAGAATAAAACTGCCATAATTTTCATGGGAACGTACAAAAAACTTTGAATGCTTATGCACATGCACACAGTATTAAAAATTCTTTGATTGAAGCACTTTGGCACGGATAAACTGCTGTTACATTAAGCGTCATCCTGTGTTTTCCGTAAATAACAAAAAATCTAATTGCCATAACTTTATCAGATAGTTTGATTTTATTGTATTTGCATCTTCAATTTATGGTAAAAGAATTTACTACTCTTGATTAATTTTTCTTTTTTATATCACAGGAAAGCACGAGAGTGCTTTTAGCCAGCATGCAAATGAAAAAAGCATGTGCCGCCGAAAGCCAAAGAACACTTCACATTTTATATACCCTCTCCTCTTTTTCTACCGTCTCTAATATACAAATTAAAATCTAAGAAGTAAAATTTACATTCGATCATTTGTATAATACATCAATTAAATAAGGGCAAATCTTACGCACTTGTACGTCAGTAGTAGAGATTCAAGTTCATTTATATGTCGCAATAAATAAATAATTAAATAATTTTTGAGTAATAATAGAGATCCGCTTAACTTTTTCTCTTCTATCTTGGATTCATTTTTTTTTCCTTTTTACGTAACCATCGCCTCACGTTCTTTAATAACTATTAATATTACACACGATACTTTTTTTTTAAAATGTACGCATAGTTATCGTCGTAATAATTAGAGCTCGTTACCACTACAGACAGTCAAATCACTGAAACTGCAGAAATCACATAACAATAGCGTTATTATTTGTGATACATCAGCGATGCCTCCGTAATTATTTCACAAAACGTCATTATTCATTTAGCCGCCATTATTGGTGGAACACCGACATTGGTAGCAAGGCATCTTCGTTACGTTTCTCATAGTTTTATACGCGCTTCTTTTTCTCTCGATAACTATAAATATTGTATGTATGTGTATATATATATATATATATATATATATATATACACATATATATATATATTATATATAGTATCTATTTACACTTTCTTTTTTAAATAACGCTTTTTTCTGTTAGCAAAATATCAGCACCAAACTCCGAGTGTTAACTGGATGGGGTGCTCAAAAGGTCGGACCGTCAGTGCGTTCGCTCGCAGAAACCGAGGACGCCGAAACAAAGTATCATCGGGACTGCGATCCATCTTCTTTCTTGTGAATATCCGCGTGCATGAGGGCGTTTTCGAGCGGACGTGTCGGTACTCCTGGACCAGGTCCTGCTCTATGATGCATATGCAAATTGCTGAGCGGACCTGGACTAGGGTCCTTACTCCTGAGTGTATTCACCGGCGGTGGAGGATAGCCGGCGTACAGTTTTGCTCGTTCCTCTTCTTCAGCTCTGAACGCCGCCACTAACGGATTATATCGTAACTGTTGCAGCGTATCAAACCGGTATTCCCGGAAAGGATCGCCCGGCCAAGGGGCTCCCGGTTGACCGGCAGGCGCAGTTGGCGGTGGAAAATGCTGCATCGGATGTGCGCTTAAACTGGGAAGCATGCTACGTGGCATAGAATGCGAAGCTGGCATACCGTGTGGATGCCTCGTAAGATAGGCATGTGGATGCGGGTGGTATCTCGGATCGGGCAGTGGATTTGGTCCAGGTCCTGGCGCGGGCCCCGTCGCTCCGGGACCGGGTACTGGCGGTCGTGGAAGCATTACAACCTCGTCGTCTTTATTGCGTGGTTCTTCCTTTACGCGCACTTCCCCAGTATCCAAAGGCGCCGAACCGTTCCTGAGCGGCGAACGATCTCGGGATGCAACCACATGTTGTCGATTCTGATGAAGTAGTCTCTCGCGCTCCATCTCACGTCTTTCCATCTCGCGACGCTCCTTATCTCGCCTTTCTCGCTCCCGTTCGGCCGCTTCCTGCTGTTTCCTCTTCTCCTCTTTCTCGCGTTCCCGCCTTTCTCTTTCACGTTGTTCCTCTCTCTCCCTCTCCCGTTCTCTTTCGCGTCTGATACGCTCGCGTTCCCGTTCGGCACGTTCACGCTCTCGTTCGCGTTCTCTTTCCCGTTCACGCTCGCGCTCCCGTTCCTCCAGCTCGGCGCGCCTGTCTATCGCAGGAGGTTCCGGTTTCAATCCCCACGAAACAGTAGTTTGTGGAAATCCAGTAGTAGCGCGTTGCAATCTGAAATTAGACACATAAGTTAGTAAAAAATACATTTACAGTAGAAAAAAGGTAATGATCTGATAGTTGATTAATATTTCATGTACATACCCTCGCCATGGATCGTGTACTGAACCAAGTCCACCTAGAGAAGGCATTTCTCTTGGCGGAAAAGTTGAAAGGTTTGGAAAATTAGGATTCGGCGCGCCGAACGTTGAAGGATATCTTCCAAAGGGAGATAATCCTGCTCCTGTAATATAAGAAAATATCATAATAATGATGCAAACATTGATAATCGTAATGCAGTTCAATGTATGTATTTACAAACATGAACGTGCGCACATGAGAATAAATGTGAATCTTTGTTACCTCTATTACCTAAGTGTGAGGCCGTTGTAGAAAGAAAACCGACAGGATGTGGTGGAGGTGGTGCAGGATGGGCAGATGGTATATTAGTGGAAAACGGAGGTGCCATTGATGGTGCACCGAGTCCAAGACCACTGGCTGGTCCCCCAGGATAAAGATGGCTCGGTGGTCTTAATAACTCAGTTTTGGTACTAACGACACTTCCCGCTTTAGCTTCAGCCTGTTGCTTTTGTTGATGATTATATATCTCCCACGCAATACGCACGTGCATCGCATTCCACTTTCCACTTTTCTGGATTAAAAGATTACACGTTTAAATAAATATGTACAACGTGAGAAAAAATTTTTAACTTTTTATATAAAAATACCTTTGGCGCAAACGGAGTCAAATGATTAGGGGGCACAAAAGGTGTCGAAGGCGGTCCAATTCCGGGATGAAGAAGGCCAGTGTTAAAACCGGAGTAACCAGAAAGGTTTAAGTTTCCACGAAAAAATGGTGATTCGACTCCTCCCAATTTTGGGATGTCCTTAAACTATTAAAGGATAGTTTCGTTTAACATCAGTTTACATGTATGGACGAGTTTACGATGAGTATTACGATCAGATAATTAGTTATGATAGATATAATAAATGTATAGTCTCATTGGCTAATATATATATTTTTTACTTACAATTGGAGGTGGAAAAAGTGTAGATGTTGCAGCTGTTGGCAGCAACGGTGTCGTGTGCTGATGTACATGCGTGTGTTGATGTTGATGATGATGCATTTCTGTTCGAAGATACGCTGGACCCAAATTCCCCACTCCAACGCCAACATTTCTGTCTTGAGACGCTAAGAACCTATTATCGAGTTCTCTCCTCAGAAGATCAGCCTGACCTGCAACATGTGTCACCCCTTCTTTTGGTCAGTGCATTTATTATCTGCTCATATTCACATAAAACACAATATATAAAAAAAGTTAGATTGTAAGCTTACTTGTTTGGAACAGAGACTCTGCAGAAAACGGATTGGGATTGGTCGTCGGTGGGGGAAGCGAGGGCAGTGAAGTATGAGGGCTTGAGCTAGACACTGGCGGTGGTAAAGGCGTTGCGAACATCGGTGGTGGAAATGTATGTGGTATACCGAGTGGTACCGGTGGTGGAGTTGGCCTCGGAACAGATGTAGCTGTCGCTGGAGACAACTGGGGAGCTGTGTTGCTGCTGTTTTTTAGATAAAAGATTTTTATACCATTTTTTGTTTGATTTTTATTGAAAAGTTTAAACTTGTTCGGGCTTACCTAATCCAACTTTGTGGCTTGGTATATGTAGGTAGACTAGAATTGGCTGGCGAGGAGGTGTTTGGCACACTAACAGGCGTTATGCTGCCCCGACTTAGACTACTCACGTTACTGCTGTAACAACATACAATTATTATTAAAATTTTCTATTAATTGTGGAATTACTCAAATCTGACTAACGCGACAGTCTGTTCGCGTTGCTTGCACTTTTTGCAATCCAAATCGCTTTCTCTCTCTTTAATGCTCGAATATATTTGTCTCGTTTTAAGTGCAAAATTTTTTCAGAATTTCAAACAACGCAAATAGACCTCGTAATCCTGCAACCAGAAGAAAATATTTTACCTGTAACTATCCCTTTCCCGACTGGGGCTATGTCCACGTGGAGAGTTATTATTTCGTCCGGATAGACTGCAGGCCACCATGTCTCTATGAGCGATAGTATTTGCCGTGGTAACTGTATTAGTTATAGTGGATACGCATGTTGTGGTGGCAGCACTCAGTGGAGTATTATTGTGACTCACGAGGTTATTTCCTATAGTCTGTTTATTTATGTTGGTACAGGGGGAAGCTCTACTCCCTCTCTAAAATATAATTATTACCGTCGTTATGAGCACTCGTATTTTGTATTTGAGATAAGTAAAATCAGTGATATAATTGAATACGTCAACAATTAACGATACGATGCGAGTAACTTACCACGTCAGCGCGCGATGAAGCAGAATGAGAAGGGGATGGTACCGCAGGCGGAAGATACGGGCTGTGATTTAGAGCGGTGTACGGGGTGTAGAGCGGTGGATACGATGGTTGTGTCTGTGGATACGCGGCTATAGGAATGGGAGGTGGATAACTCGTAGTGGCCGCTCCGTTCGATGGTGCTGCTGGCGTAACACCTAAACTGGCTACCGCTGGACTAGTTGTATGACTCGAGACGAGGGGCCCAATAGGTGGATGTAATGCAGGTATCGTAGTGTGCGGTTGCTGGGATAGGGAGGGTGGAGGCAGAGCAGGGGAAGCTGGCCGCTGTTGCGGAGCTATTGCACGTGGATTCGCTGCCAAAGGACTAGTCATCTGAAATATAATATCAACAACAAATGTTATCCCGTTCTCTATGAAAGAAGACTAAGTTTATATAACGCAGTAACTTACAGAAGGCTGGGATATGTGTGGAGGCAACGTGGGGCTAGGAGGACTCGGCGCTGTTGGAACTGGTGCAGACGCAGGCACAGGAGGTGGTATAGGTGCCGGAGCATTCGTTGCTGGATTAGAAGTTTGACCACCCGTGTCCGGTGGAGATCCACCTGCCCCGTTTGTGGGTGGTAAAACGTGTGGCGAAGAAGATGGCAATTCGTCTAAAAACGAAAAGGAAAGATCAGAAATGCACAGAAGTAATGGTAATAACGTTATACTTTCGAAAGATGATTATCTATATAAATATGTACATTTCCCATTTCTGAAAGTATTACTTACATTTACGTGTGAGAGGTGGTGAGGTAGAAGATTCAAAGAGTATAGATTCGGCATCCGAGCCCTGTAACATAAAAACAATGAAATTATTGAAGCTGATCGATTATTTTCTTCAAGATAGTAGAGTATCTACAGAAAATGTGCATACCTTATCGTCTTCTCCTTCACTATCACACTGAAACGAAGAAATAATAAATTAATATATCATTTATTACAATAATATAGAAATATGATTCACAATTGAAACTCAAAATATAAGGCTACGAGAGAGAACCATACTAGATATTTAATGCTTTTTAACTGATACCATCTCCACTAATTACAAAGAACGACCACCATGGATTTATTTGGATACTGCCTCCACTTATTGCAGGAAATGACAAATATGAATGAATTTCTGATTCAAGAGCAAGAATTATAATGCGATTCTTATTATTTGTGATATCTTTAAATTTTGTTTGTTAACACTGAGAATAACCCGACTGGGATTGAAACGTCTGTTTTAAAAATTGTTTAAAAATTATAATTTATTCATAGAAATCTCAGCTTTAAATATCTAGCTTGATTCGTAGTCCTATGTTTTGATTTTTAACTTTAAATTATTGGAATCGGTTATTGTGTTGAATTATAATTTAGGATCTTCTGTATGTATATACTGATTATAAATATAGATACTTACGATATAACCTTTACCCGAACTGCAATGACTGCTAGCCTGTATTGCAAACATGAATTCATGAATAAAAGCATTAAAAGTACTAATCAGTTTTCTAACTTTTCATTAGTTATTTCGTAAAAAAATTAATATTGATGTATATATGATAAATATATTTTTATCTTAGTCACAGTCAGAAAGTGAAGAAATATAATAGTATGTAAATAGACAAAAATATTAACAAGACATTAGTCATATTTAAAATTATAAAATAATTTATTACATAAATTTCAAGTTATGAAATTGTCAATATTGAATGTACTAAGTTACGAGTAGGATATGGAACTCACATCGCTGAGATGGTCCCTAGAACTGTCTGCGTCCTGGCAATCCCTAGGTATACCAGGGCCGTGCAACTGTTCAGACGCTCTGCCACTATCGTCGCTTGTACCTGCATCTAGGCCCTGCAAGAGAAATTGTCAACGCCACTGTCACTGTATCATCTCTAATTGGTATATGTCAGCAAGCTAGACACTTGACGCGATTTAACTAAGATTGTTCAATTACCTGGTTTAGCGTCGAGGGTGTCAGTATGGAATTATGTGTGTAATGGTTGTGCTTGAAATTGTTTTTGATGTGGTGCTCGTTGTGCCTGTTATTCTGTCCAGTATCCAGCTTTGGTTTTTCGTCCACTATCGATAGCAATGTGTGTATTTTCTTGACATTATTTTTACCAGCTAACGTTATTGCACTCTGAAAACAGAGAAAAGGATATATGAAATAAAAATACTATCTTGCGTACATAAAAATATATGTATGTGTATGTATGTGTATACACATATTTTGTATAATCACAGCATATTTTGTATATTTTTTTATATACACGAATATATTCTCTATTTCAAATTTGTATTGTATTTAATTTTATTGTTACATTGCCGACATTATGATGGCGTATAGGCACATTTGTAAAAATATACGTCATCATACATTTTATAATTTCACATTTAGCAAGAAATCTCATTTTCATTATTGCGTTATCATGTTGTCACATAAAACGTCAAGGATAACCAGAACTGTAGAGACGTCGCCTTCACTTTTACCGAAATACCAGCACCATATTTATCAATCTGACAGCGTTAAATCACGTTGAAAATCAATTGACGGATATGTGAAAGATGCGCCCACCTGTGTTCACGAAAAGCGCGAAGTGTCGCCGCAATCGGAGCATCCGCACAACCCGCTAGTATCCCCGTCCGCGGTGTCGGAGTTTTATTCTTCGCGCCCGCGCGACGCTTGCTCCTAACGTGCGGCGGTGGCGGTGGCGGCGGCGGCGACGACGACAACGACGTCGCCGAGAGCCATGTCCCCCCCTCCTCCCCCCGGAGTCACGACGATCGAGATTCCGCACTGTCGCGCACGCACCCGACACGTAATACACACTGTTGTAAACACCGCGAGCGAGGCCCTGGCCGCGAGAAACGGCCTGGCTACGAGGTGCGCGACGGCGACGGCGACGGCGATGACGACGGCATCGGGAACGTCATCGACGACGTGCAGTCGAGAGAGCGCCGGAGTCCGCGGCGAACGATCGCGGTACTTTCACGCTGTTGCGCGCGGCCGCCGGGCGGAAAAAGCCCGAACGAGAACGCCTTCCTCCTTGCCCTCGGAACGGAGCGCCTTCAAACCGCGATACGAGTGCACATTTCCGAACGCACCGCGTTCTCTTTCATTCTCCGGCCGAACAATGTTATACACCGGTGATTCGTGGTGCTGGAGGGATTCACGTCGCGCGACTCCCCGCCGTCGAGGACGACGACGACGACGACGACGACGACGACGATGACGATGACGACGACAATGATGACGACGCGTCGCGGGCGCGACGAACTGATTTTTCGCGATCGCGCACGGCGTGGGATAATCCTGGCCGCGGACGGGCGTTCGTTCGCAAGATGACAGAGGGATTTCGCAGGCATCCGTGTCTCGTGTGCGCGATGCAGCACGGGAGCGCTGCCGAGTGGGGGGAAGCGATGAAAGAGAGCGGGAAGCGAGAGGAAGCGAGAGAAAGAGAACCGGAGGGGGAGGACGGTAGAAGGGACGGGGAGCGCAAGAGAGAAGAGAGAAGGGAGAGAGCGAGGAAGAAAGAGAAGACATTGACCGAACGAGCAGCCGCGCGACAAGGCCTTCTTCGTCGTGCCAGGCCAGCTGGAAGGAGCGAACCGCGGGATCGCTCCTTCTCTCTCTCTCCCTCCCTTTGCTCCTGTCTCTCCTTCTTTTTTTCGCAACGGCAACGTTACGCTCTCTCCCTTCGTCACGAGCCCATGGCTCTTGTCGCGCTCTTTCTCTTGCTTCTCCTCTCTCCCTCTCTCGTGCCCCCTCTCTTCTGCCACGGGTGGGTACCAAAGAAAAGAAGGGAAAAAGCCACTAGAGACCTCGCGGTTGGTGCAAAAAACCACCGCCGCTGCCATCGCCGCCGCGGCTGCTGTTACTACCACCACCACCACTACCATCACCACCGCCGCCCAGCAAAAACCGCACTCCACCTGCGCACGTGTGCCAACTGCGAGTCGAAACCCCCTAGGACGTGTTCGTCGCGGTCGGATCGCGTGCTCCTCGGCGAGAATTAATTGAATAAAACCTCCGCGGCTGGTCGGCAGGTCGGCACTGTCGGCACTCGACCGGCCGTCTCGCGGAAGGTGCAACGCTCGCGAAAAGAGCACGTCTAGATTCAGTGTTTGTTTGTCGCGTGTTCGTCGGAGGTTTCTCACGATTGTTCCTCGAGAGAGCGAGACAGTGGCTGCAGAAAAAGCAGCGTTGTAAAATTCTTTAATATGATTGGTCTTGTCCTCAATCCTCAAATACTGTGGTAAGCCTCGAGTCTTAAGAAATTGATCAATTACAGTCAACTATTCTTCTCACCTTCGACTATGATCAATAGTCAATTTCTTAAGACTTAAGGCTTATTGCATCTTTCGTGTTTCGGTTGATTTCTCATTGGATCTAAAAGTATAAACCAATCATATCGAAGAATCTTACAACAGTTGCAACGTTGCTTTTTGACTGAACGTAGCCAGAATATATATTTTTTCTCTCACTCTCTCTCCCCCTCTCTTTCTTTTCGAGCAAAGATGCGCCAAGACATGATTGATGAGAGCTATCACAGTTGGCACAAGCCGCTCGTTCATTCATACGGCTGAACTGAATCAGCTGACGCGCATTATTCTTAGAGATAGTCGCACATTGTGCTCAAACGACGCGATGTTTTGTCAGATTGAGATTAACAAGCTTCTGTAAACACACAAACCCCCCCCCCCCTTGAGCGAGACGGTTCACCTTAAAAATGTAGCTCGCGAGGTCGCAAATGTCGATTCGTTGCATCGTCGTTTTCTTTGCACGCGAGCTATTTTTATTTTAAATATCGCGATACGACAGTGACGCACGTTTTTTTCTAACAAACAACGGTTCTTCCCCGCAAATTGCCGGTGTTCGTACAGCAAATTAATTTACAATCATAAATAACGCCTGTGTCAACTTCTGTCACCGAGATAGTTATTAGATGATTACCTGCTTTCAAGGCGTTTATAACGCTCGCCGTTTGAGCCTACAGAACGAAACACTCGACAATTATCGCTTGTAAATATATTACGAAGATTATATCAGATAAGTGGATACGTAAAAAGCCATATGACTCATTCCGCGTGCATGTGTATGCCACGTAGTAGAGGCCTGCTCACAAAAATCGAGCGGGTACACCTCTGATTGACGTTAATACCGCGTTAGACAGGAACGTACGCTATCATCGTGTATATCCACAATGATTAAATCCTTTCTCCCGCGACTACGCGAGACTGTATGGGTTCAATTCCGTAAACCCCCTATGGCTTTTACCGGTGGTATGTCACAACGTTGCCTTTCGCAAGAAATATGCGCACGATAATTCATTACAGCTGCATATAATCGAGACCCGCCACGATATGGCATCCAGTGTTTGTTGCACGAGGTATCATCGCAGCTATGACGTAAGAATACAAGGTGTTTTATTCCTCATAATGGTAGCCGATGGTGATTTTGGAGTAGATTACTCATTGGTGGTAAATTTCTAATAGCGGCTCTATATTGGCTTGTAACATCTTGGACTAATTTCCTAATTGGTCATCGACCGCACATCTTGGAAACGAAACACCTTTGGCTGCGTTCAGTAGACTTAACAGTTGAAGCCCAGTTTCATAATTCGCAGTTAACTCCTTGGGACCTTAGAATTCTAGAATTGAAATGAGGAGTAAGATGAACCTCGGTTAAAAAGTTAATTGCGAATTGCGAAACCGCGGGTCTGAGTGAACGCGATTGACGTATTCTTCCAGATCTAAAAGTCTGATTAAATGATCTAAAAGAATACACTAATAACAGCGAGCGCTCACTCATACCCGTTTCCACCAATGTAGATTAACTGATCTCAATTTAATTTACTTTTCATCATTTCTCTAATTCTCAGAAAAGATGGGAAGTTAGCTGGACTGAGATTAAAATTAAATTACATTGGTAGAAACGGATATCAAGTGAGTTTGCTGAACGCGCAGTCCTTGTATTCTTACATCATGACCAGTCGGTTTTTCTCCGCGAAAATCCAAACGAATGATCCGCGAGCGTATATGATCTTGGAACGGCGCGGCAGAGAGAAAAACGGACGTTGGAAGTGGCAATTACACGAGCGCGGTTCAAGCCGACGAATTACATGACTCGTTGATTCTGTAACGAGCTGTTGCCCCTGTCGTCCTGTTCTCAAGACTATCCTATTACGGGAACGACACAAGAACTTAATTACGATTAATCGCCTGTGTAAATGAAGAGAGAAAAAAAAGGAAAATCTACTAACACGGTGCGATTATGTATTTAGGTATATGTGAAAAAATCCTTCGAACTTTGTCGTCCATCATGCACCTCTTCTTTTTTTTTTTGCAAGTCACGGCTCATGCCGCTCGAGGCAACGCGATGCGATAACGTTCTTATGCGTTACGCAGACGTTACGGCGTAACGAAGTTTCTTCACGTCGCGATACGCAACGTTGCATATTATTATGCATATAATTTTTGTCCGCGATCTCTTCTCTCTCGCCCCGCCCTCCATCTCTAGTCCTCTTCGTTTCTTTTTATTTGACGGTGCGATTTGCTTACAAATGGTAGCCGAGTCTTATGAGACTATAAAACGTATTGTCCATAAACACGAATAAAAAAAAAAAAGGATAGATTTTATCAATGAAAATGTATTCTTTTCATATTTACTTCGGCATAACTTTTGTTACAAAAAAAAGCATGATAAAAAAAATCAACGCAGCGCGCCCGGGTATTGAGATGTAAAAGCTATTAGTATGCATGAATAAAAAGTACTAGAGTTGAAGAGTCGGGCGCAACAATCGAGCTAGCCCACTTTTTTCCCAACAAACGACTTGTTTACCATTTGGCATTCAATGAATAGTGAAATCTATCGATTGTTCCAACAGCCATGCGTGCGTAAAATTAAATACGTGCACATATATCGCAGGTATGTGGAAACGGATAAAACATGCAGATCTATATAGCAAGGTTTCTCTTACGATAATTGAGTAACGCTTTATTAATAATAAGTAATAATGTAAGAAAAATGTGCCGATTAAAAATAAAAAAATATCTTTATTCAATTTTGAATTATTTACATTGTTCAAAATTTCTTGTAAAATTGCCAAAAATAATTATGTTTCTAGATTTTCCAATTTT